GTGTCACCACAACCTGGAGCTTCCCCAGAGTGTCTGACTGCAGAGGAGCCTGAGCTGGGAGCCAAGGCTGGGGTGGGGTGGAAGGACCCTGGTGTCCTGCCTGGGATGTGGGAGGATGCTGGTGGGAAGAGGGTGAGGACTGGAAGGTGATGGAATCATGGAATTGGTTGAGGTAGGAGGGACTCTGGAAGGTCCAACCCCTGCAACGGGCTAGGACATCTTCAGCTCATTGTGGCCCAACCTCACCTCAAGTGTTTCCAGTTCTGGGCCCCTCAAGACAGGAGTGACATAGTCTGAAAGTGTCCTGGAAGATCAGGGGACTGGCACACCTCATTTATGAGGGAAATATCTGATGAGGAGCAGACTCTGATCTTATTCTCAAATACATCCACGTGCAGGAGGGGTGTCAGCAGATGGGATGGAGCCAGGCTCTTCTCAGGGGTGCTGAGCAATACAAGGAGAGGCAAGGGCAGAAATAGGAGCAAGAGAAGGTACACCTATGAACATGAGGAAGACCTTTACCATGCACTGGAACAGGCTGCCCCAAAAGGTGGCAGATTGCCTATCCCTGGGGATATTCAGCTGTCTAGGCATAGTTCTCAGTGCTCTAGAGAACGCTGCTTGAGTGGGGTGGGGCTGGACTAGATGACCTCCGACGGTCCCTTCCCACCGGATATTCCCGATATTCCGTGATCTCCCACCCCTCGGGGCAGGACCGCTCTCCCGGTGTGCTGACCGCGGGGCAGCGCTCACCCTTCTCTCCGTCTCTGCTCCCACCGGCGCCTGGAGCGCAGCTCTCCCATCGCCCGTCCCGCCGGGGCGGGGAGGCGGAGCGGGGCGGGGCGGGCCGGGGCTGCCCGGAACGGCGGTGGCGGAGGGATGGGGTGGGCGCTGCTGGCCGTGGGGCTGCTGCTGGTTCTGTACACGCTGCTCCGGCACGGGCTGAGCAGCGCCCCGCGGCCCCGCGGCCGCCCCGAGCTGCGCGGCCGCACCGCCATCGTCACCGGTGAGCGCCGGCCGGGAACCGGGACGGGAACCGGGACGGGCCCCGGTGCGGCCCTGGCCCCGCTCACCCCCCGCGCTCCGCTCCGCTCCGCTCCGCAGGGGGAAACGGCGGCATCGGCGCGGCCACGGCGCTGGAGCTCGCCCGGTGCGGGGCCCGCGTTATCCTGGCGACCCGCAGCGCCCGGCGGGGAGAGGCCGCCGCCAGCCGCATCCGCAGGGTGAGAGCCGGCACCGGCACCCCCGGGAACCCCCGGTATTCCCGGCCACGGGACATCCCCGAACCCTATGGCACCTCCAGGGTACCCCTGGCACCCAACGGGCAACTCCAGGACACTCCCGGGATACCCCCCTGGGCATCCATGGATATTACATGAACTCCCCCAGGTATCTCCATGGGTGCCCTGAGGACACTGCCACGGCATCCCCTCAGCAGCCCAGGGATGCCCAAAAGAGACCCCCCCATGACATCCCTGTGCACCCCGAGGACACCATCCAAAACACACAACAGAACATCTCGAAGCATCACATGATTAATCCCCAAAACACGCCCATGGGTACATCCAGGTGCCCCATAGTACACCTCAGGAACGACCCCTCAGACACCCCCATAGGACATCCCCAGGCACCCCCAGATACTCCAAGGTGGGGCATACTGTATGGGGCACACTGTACCACGGGGGGGCTACAGCCTCCCATGCTGGGGGTCCCAGCACACTGTAGCCCTTGGGCCAGATCCAGTTCCCAGAACATCCCCCTGCCCCTGGCTGGCTCCGGCCCCCACCCAGGGCAGGGCACACCCCCGGCTCGGCCCCTGGCCCTGCCCCAGCCCCCCTGTGCCCACAGGAGACTGGGAACAACGAGGTGCTGTTCATGCACCTGGACCTGGCCAGCCTGCGCTCAGTGAGAGCCTTTGCCAGCACCTTCCTGCGCCAGGAGCCCCAGCTGCACCTCCTCATCAACAACGCGGGTGAGTGCTGGGACCCCAAATCCCCTGTGCACCCCTGGGCCACCACCACAGGCTGCCATCGCCTCCTCACTCCGCAGGGGTGAGCGCCGGGGGCACGACGGAGGATGGCTTCAGCCTCCCCTTCCAAGTGAACCACCTGGGCCATTTCCTGCTGACCCAGCTGCTGCTGGAGCGGCTGCGGAGCTGCGCTCCCAGCCGGGTGGTCATCGTGGCCTCCAGTGCCCACTGCGCCGGCCGCCTGCGCCCCGAGTCCCTGGGCCGGCCGCCCTCGGGGCTCTTCTCCACCTTCCAGGACTACTGTGACAGCAAACTGGCCAACGTGCTGCACGCCCGCGAGCTGGCCACGCGCGAGCAGGGCACGCAGGTCACCTGCTACGCCGTGCACCCAGGTAGGACCCAGCTCGCCCTTGGTGTCATCTGTGATCTGCACACTTTTGTGTCCTGCGGTGGCCCTCTGTGCGGGGTGGCGTCCCGCTTTGCAGGCTTTTCACAGGGAATTCCTGCACGGGGAGCATCTCTCCCCGTCAGCATCACAGTGTGGTGCTTTGCATGTGTCACTTTATGTGGTGTGGCCCTTTGCATGTGTCCCTTTATGTGGTCTGTCCCTCTGCGTGTGTCCCTGTGCACAGTGTCTCTTTTCATGGCGTGTCCCTTATCTTGGCATGTCCCTTTGGACCTTGTCCCCTTGCACCGCATTCCCTGATACAGCGTGTCCTTTTTCACGTGTCCCTTTGCATGGCACCTCCCTTTACACCTGTGGCAGTGCCTGGGGACAACCACAGCCGTGCCACCCACGCCAAGGCCACCCCGGCCATCTCCTGGCACGCACAGGGGGACGCCCCACACGCGCCAATCTCCCACAGGCTTTGTCAACACGTCGCTGTTCCGGCACGCGCCGCTGTGGCTGAAGCCGCTGCTGCTGCCGCTGGCCTGGCTGCTGTTCCTGGACGCGTCCGAGGGCGCGCAGGCGGTGCTGGACTGCGCCACGCGGGACGGCCTCGAGCCCCTCAGCGGCCGCTACTTCACCGACCGCGGGCCCCGGCTGCCGTGGGCAGCGGCGCGCGACGACCGCCTGGCACGGGCGCTCTGGGAGGGCAGCGAGCGCCTGGTGGGGCTGGGCACGGCAGGGGGACAGCGGGGGGGACACGGGCAGGGACATCCGCAGGGACATCCGCAGGGACATCCGCAGGGCCCCGCTGCACCCACGGCACAATAAAGGTGATGGCGGTGACCAGGGGGTGCCGTGTGCGTGTGGAACGGGGGCAAGTGAGGGGCACCGGGCCTTGCACACCCACCGCGGGCTGCAGAGCTGGGAGGGTGACAGTGAGTGAGTGTGCAAGGGGTGTGTGTGTGTGTGCAGTGTGGGTGTGCACAGCAGCACAGCCGGCTCTGCACACACACTGCAGGACACACACCCTGCCTTGCGCACCCATGCAGTGTCTCACACACACATCCCTTGCACACACACGCAGTGTCACAATACACACACACACATCCCTTGCACACACACACAGTGTCACACACACACCCCTTGCACACACACAGTGTCACAATACACACACACACACATCCCTTGCACACACACACTGTCACACACACCCCTTGCACACACACACAGTGTGACAATACACACACACATATCCCTTCCACACACACATCCCTTGCACACACACACACACATCCCTTGCACACACACATCCCTCGCACACACACACACTGTCACACACACACACATCCCTTGCACACACACTGTCACACATCCCTTGCACACTCACGCCCCTCCCTCACACACCGCGCATGCGCACACCGCCCATGTTACCCCGCGCACGCGACCCCCAAGATGGCGGCGCACCGGCCCGGCCCCGCCCCCGGGGCGCGGCACCGACCGACCTCCCCAAGATGGCGGCGCCCCCGCCGCGCCCCCGCGGCACCAGGCGCGGGCGGTTGTGGGCGCGGGCGGCGGCGGGGCCATCATGGGGAACTGCCACACGGTGGGGCCCAACGAGGCGCTGGTGGTGTCAGGTAGGGCCGGGACTGAGGGGCTGCGCGGTGACATGGAGGGCACCCTGAGGGATTGGAGGTCTTGGCTGTGAGGGGACTGTCGGGGGTTTGAGTGGTCCCTGTCACGGGAGGATCCTGAGGGATTGGGGCGGTCTGTAATGCGGGGTGCTTAGGAGGGGGTTTTGGGGGTCCTGCGATTTGAGGGGTCTCGATCACTGGGGGGTGTCTGTGTGGTGGAGCCTCATGGCAGAGGGAAGTCGGGGGGTCCTGGCTGTGAGGGGACTCTGAGGGGCTCGAGGAGTTCCTGTCATGGAGAGAACCTGTGGGAGTTGTGGGGTCTCTGTGCTGGGCTATGAAAGGAGGGGGGAATTGAGGGGTGCTGGCTGTGAGGGCGCTCCGAGGGATTCTAGGAGGGATCCCTGTGGTAGGAGGGCCCTGAGCGATTTGGGAATAGACAGGGAGATGGGGGATGCTGTAATGGAGCTGAGGCTCCGGGGTGGTGTCCGGCCACAGCAGCGGCACCTCCGATGCTGCTGATGCCAGGTGATGTCAGGCACTGGCACCAGCAGAGCTCAAACAGGCTTTGGCTGGCATTGCCAGGAAACCCTCCTGTTCCCGGAGACAGGTTGGCTCTGCCAGGGAAGGGGAGCTGGGTGTGAGCATCCCCCTGGGGCAGAGTGCTGCAGGCTTGTTCCTGCAGTGCCCGTCTTCACCCATCACATCCTGCTGCAGTTTCTACACCAACACACCTGCACGCTCTGTGGTGCTGCCACTGGATGCAAGTGATGCCCACTGGACATGGGGAATGTCACCAGCAGCTGGCTGAGGTTGGGATTAAACAAACCAGCAGTGAGATCCTCCATGTCTGATTCAACCTGTAGCTGCTTCAGTGCTGCTGCAGCTCCAGGCTGCACTTTAGCATGGACCAGGCTTTGTGCGGGCAGGATTATTATTAATTCATTCTTGTTAGATGAGTTATTTATTGTTAGGTGATGCGAAGGATGGAAGCTGCACTCTGTGACAGACTGAGGCCCGCTGCAAGGTAATGAGCACCAGCAGAAAATGCATGTGAACATCAAGGATGTGCCTCTAGTCACAGCTTTGCCACGCTTGCAACTATGTTATTGTGGTTTTGGAGCCCAAGCCTCCAGCAAGCTGTGGTTGATCTGTTATCAGTTCATCTCTCTTGGATGACAGACCTGTTGTGGGAATTCCTGAGGAGATGCCAGGAGCAGGCTGCAGTTCTGGAAACAATTATGCCCACACTACTGGTGGCTTCTAAGGAGTTACAAACCCCACCCAGCCGCTGCCCAGAGCAGCAGTATTCCTTGCAGTTTTCCTGGTCTGCACTTCCCAGTGGGATCCTAAGCTGATGCTGTGCTTCCCTCCAAAGGGAACCCTGTCAAAACTGGCACTGCTGGGTGAAATGCCACATTCATGGGAAGATTGAGAAGCTGTGCTGGGATGCCCTTCAGTCTCAAAACTTGGTTTTGCTTCTGTTCAGCTCTGGAGTTTACAAAACACAGCTTCCAGGATGAGCCAGCAGGAATTTGTGGCATCTGCTTGCAGTTCCAGGCCTGATGCTTTTCCACAGCCAGGAGCGGAGAGCCCAGGATACTCCTCGTAGTGCAGCTGCGTTTTGGGAAGGGAGCAGAGATCACCCAGGGTTCTGCCAGTTGGGATGGAGTTTGGAGCTGCCACCAGACTGGCTTTCCTCAGCTGGTGCCCAATGCAGTCTGCACATACTTGCTGAATCCTGAGGGCACCAGCTCAGAGCTCTGCAGGGCCCTGCAGCTCCTCTGTGCCCGTGTCCAGCAGTCAGCTGGGGCATTAGTGAGAGGTTGTAGCTACAAGACATTGAAATTCCAGGAACTTGACCCATGTTCCTTCAGGGAAAAGCAGGGAGGATCTCGTGGGCCAGCATTAATTTGTGTGATACTAAGCTGGATTTAGGGAGAGAGGGGAAACGAAGTAGAAACTAATAAGAATTACCATTAAGCCAAAATAATATTAAATAAATTTTAGTTAAATTAATTTAAATAAACCAAATATTATTAGAGGCAGGCTTTTGGCGTTCAGTCTTGAATTGTCATGTGGTGGTTATCTGCAAGACTTCACTTGGTGGGAAGGTTTTCTTTATTTATTTTCTTTACTCAGCCTGTGCCCCAAGGCCTTTAGTCCTGGGCCTCCCCTGGCTGTGGGTTTCTCTGAGGAAGGTTGTTCTTTCTTTTCACTTTCTTGTGAGACACTCGAGTTCCTCCAGTGCTCAAGAAGCAGCCAGCTGTGCCTTGGGAACGTGGAGCTCTGTAGCCTTATTTGGGAAGCTGCTTCCCAGGCACAGCTCAGCACTCTGCTGGCACTGCTGTCCTTCCCCTGCTGAGGAACACCAACCTCCTTCTACGAAACTGCACTGCTGATCGATCCATCTGTGAATTGTGGAGCCCAGGATTTGTAAGGACTCTCCCCAAATTGTGGGTCTGACTTTCCTGGGAGATTCCCTTGGTGCAAGGTCTGAGGAGGTTTTGGCCTGGCACATCACTGAACCCACTCTGAGCACAACTGGAGCTGGTGGAGTTTCAGGGAGGTACACAAAGTACCTGTTCATCCCCATATCTGAATGTTCCCACCAGCCAAATAGGCTGTGAAATGCTGGGTTAGGTTGCAATCTGGTTAGAGGCAGCTTTTGTGGCTAAGGGTCGATGTGCTGATTTTAAATACAGCTCTATAATATTTCCACAGTGTCACAATAAGGAAATCTGCATTTATAGTGGCCATATTCATCTAACAGTTACCAAACAGTGTTGCTAAAATCTCTACACTTGAAGCATTTTCCTTCTGGCTGGCAAGGGCTGCAGCAGAGGAGCTCTGAGGGGAGCACCTGGAAATACATGACAGGGAAAGTGGGTACAGCCCTCCCTATTCCCATGTTAGAACAAACTGCTACTACAGCAGAAGTTTAGGGAGTGAAAGGAGGAAAAAATCGGGGGAGTGCAACCCAGCCAACCCAACTTTATCTCCTAGGAGACTGTTGAGACAAGTGTGTTGCTTGTAACACCTACAAGAAGACAAGTGGAGGTATTTGCCATGTTCAGCTAATCTGATTCCTCCAAGGTGAGCTGAAATCAGCTTGAGAAATATGCTCCAGCCCAGTTTCTTAAATTTGAGTTTGGTGCAACACTCTTTGGGGCTCCTTGATGTCTGTCAAAGTTAAGGAAGAACTAGCAGTTAATTCTAGTCTTGTGTAGACATTTCCTGCTGCATGCCAGCAGTTAGGGGTGTGTAACCCTTCCAGGGTTGGTCTAAGCTCTTCCATCCGGTTACTGCATCCCTGTTACCCCTTCAAGAACTGCTCATGTGCTATTTTCATGCTACTTTTCTAATTGAAAGCCTGAAATAAGGATTTCTTGAGGTTCTTGAAGCCCTTCCTGCAAGAGACCTACAGTCCATAGTGCAAGAAGGAACTGGTTTCTCAGATATTATGAAATTAATATGAAACTTCCTGGAAGATCATTGCCAGGGAACTTGACAGTAGTTCACTGTTCAGCTGAAAGAATTTATCAAGTAAGTTCCTTGTTTTGGCTTGGATAATGGACTCGAGAATGTGCTTATTGAATTTGCAGACTGAACTGGGAGTGGGTTCGAGAGCTTTGAAGAGCTGGATCAGGATCAAAACAAACTCTGGAGATTGACCCAATGAGCTGAACAAAACCCAGTGCAGTTCTGGAAGGAGAAATGTAAAAGTTACATTTGGGTGAGAAGAGTCCATGAAAATGGAATGAGAAGGTCCAGGCCATGTCCTGTGGAAAGATGTGGTGGGCAGCAAGAGCCACCTGAACCCTCACACTGATGCTGTAATTCCAGTTCTTCAGCCTCAAAAGAAATAGGAGCTCGTGGGAAGGAGCAGGCAGCTTCAGCTGGGTCTCAGGAGGTTTTGCCCTATGTTCATACAGTTCAAACTGTTTCAGGGTTGTGGTTCCACCTCTTGCACCAGGCAAGCCACGCAGGAAGCTTGCAGTGGCACTGGTGGTCACCTGCCAGGTTAAACTGAGTGCTCCTGCAGATTTTGGTTTGTCATTTTGGCAAGCCAAAACTCTTTCCCCATGGTTGGTTTCTCACTGCTTGTGATGCTCAGGGTTTGCTCAGAGGGCAGCATTGCAGCTGGTCATGAGTGCTCAAAAGGCCCCTCAAAATGGCAGCTCAAGGTTTCCCTTGTCATGTGCTTGCTAAATCTCCAGGACTTGCAAACTACCCTTTGGAAAGCCTGTTAGGAGGTGGAAAGCCTCAGACCTTTCCTTTTGGTTTCCAAAAGGAATTTTGGGGAAGTATCTCAGTGATTTTGTTCTGTAGCTTCATTGTTGTCTTCTCCGAGTTGCTGTTTACGAGATGAGTTATTAAATGTATTTTTAAACTCCCTCTATAGGATTGTTACTCATTAAGTCATTTTCATATAGATTACATTGAGAACAAGATAGCCAGTGTAATCTGCTTTCATCTGCTGCAGTGACCATCAGAGGCTTTTATGGATTCAACTCAGAACCCTGCATCTTTTTAAATTAATTTTTGTTAACCTTGTACCATTTCTACATGAACGAAGCCTAATTTATACACACAGCGAGGCCTAAAAACCAGACACTGACTTTAGTCTGGGCCCTGCTCTAGGATATGATTTTCTTTATGCATGCTTTTGCCTTCCTCTATCTCTGCATTATCTTTTGTCAGTAACTGTTTTCAATTATCAACTTTTTCCTGATCTGTCTGGACTCAGCAATCTGTGTACCATGACCTGATTTTGGAAAGCTCACCACTTTCTGCTGGAGAGGTAACTTAGTGCCCAGGTTACCTGGGAGAGCAAACACAGAGCTTGTTCAGATCACCCCAGCTTTGATGTTTTGAACCCTGTGTCCCCAAAACTGTTGAGACTCATGTTCTTCCTCACTCACTTCCTACATCTGCTGAGAGCTCCTTTTATCTCCCAACTCCCAAGCGATTAATCTTATTTCATAATAAAAAAACCCCAACCAAACAGACAACGTACTTTCTCCTGGCTCTGGGAATTCTTGCTGGAACATGGGACCCCTTCATTGGGAAGAGGCCAAGCTGGCTGGCAGCTCCCTGGCTATGAATCCTCCATTTGTGGCCCCGCACACTGCCCCGGAAGAGGCACGGTGGATGTTTGTGGAAGCGACTGTGAGACCCAGTCTGCTGGAACAGTGGGCGTATTATAGCTGGGAAAGGCAATTTCTCTGCCAAATCTCATTGTGCAAGAGGGTTTATTCTTTAGCCTTGCAAAGATTTTGCTTTGTTGGTTCCCTTTTTCACTTGCAGCCTGAGAATTGAGAAAGAGGTGGCAGGACTGCCATGGAAAATGAGCCCTCAGCTCCTCAGCCTTGCCAGGACGGAGCTCTGCTGCGCTCAGACGTCCAGCATGTGTGAAAGCAGCTGGCTGGCATCCCACTCTTCCTTAATGTGTTCGTTTTTCCTGGTTTTTTTAGGCTTTGAACAGTTTTTGACATATAATCTATCTCAGTAGACCATACTCTGCAGCTGTGTTGTATAGCACCGCGAAGCAAATGTGGAGCTTGTTTTGTGTGTGATACTAAATAAGGTATTTCCTTGCATTTCCTACAGAAGAAGAGGAGCATCTGTATGGAGAGGCACTTTCCTGTAACAATGGTTGGTTTAGGGTGCAGAGCTTTCTCAGGATATTATTAAGAAAAAATTAACAGAGGTTCAGTAAAGCCCACATAGACCCTGGGAAATAAAATACCTTAACATGTGGTGCTGCTTTTCCTGAGTGCCAGGAACACCTCCCTTCCTGTTCTTGGAAAACCAGGGCCTGGCTGAAAGGCTGAGCTAACCGGGCTGACACCCTCCAAGAAATGTTAAAGGCGTTGTGGTTACTGCAGGATGTTGTGTCATCAGCTTCTGTAATGTTTGCCTGGCTGAAATAGCCTTCCAGCTACAGGAAAAAGCTACCCAAAGGCTAGCTCAGAGGTGACAGGAGAATATTCCTCTAGGCTGTGCAGCACAGGAGATCTGAAAAAGTGTGTGAAGCCTTTCCCGTTTGCGTTTAATTCTTACTGAAATGCAAGGGTGAAGAATTGTAGATGGGCAGATCTGCTGGTTTGTCAACCACTGCATGGAAGCCAGCGAAGCAGGCAGTGTGTGGCCAGTGTCTGGAAGCAGGGAGTGTCTGGAAGCAGGCAGAAGATGGCTCAATGCTGGGGGGTTGGAGCAAGGAGAGGAGGAGAACAAGGACAGTCGCCTCCTGCAGTCAGAGAGCCCTGCAGGCACACTGGCCTGGATGTGTGCTGCTTCTGCACTTCATATTGACCTATGCAAATGATACTGGTCATTCCTCTTGAAAGGGCTGCTGGCTTCATCCTTGTACCTTTCCCCTCCCACAGCCCAAAGCTCCCAGAGCCACTCTGTTTTCTGCATTCCTACTTTTCCTCTGTGCCGGCTCTGTCTATGCCTGCAAAGATCTATCCCGCAGGGCTGGAGCTGTCTGCTGCTCTGTTTGTACAGCACTCGCCTTGCTGAGGCCCTCAGGCACTGCTGTAGTCAGTGATTATGGAGAGCAGCTGGGAGAGGGAATTCTGGCTCACTCTGCCTGAGAGTCAGCAGCTCCCAGCCCTGGTCCGAGCCAGGGAGCTGCAGAGTTCTTCCCTTCCCAGCCATGAATCTGATCACTGACAGGGTGCTCTCTTGAAAGGCAGCAGGTGTCTTGTTCCTTAAATCAAAGATATGAACATCCAGACAGCATCTTCCAGCTTCACCGGGATCAAATCTTAAATGTGTCAGAAGAGTTCTGGAGGCTGCCTGAATCTTGGGCACATCCAACTCTGCGATGGACCATCAAAGCATCAAACGCTGTGCTACTTGCACAAGCCAGAATTAGGAGGTATTTTTTGGGAGCTCAAAGGTTCTTTTCTCTTCCAATGCTGATTTGAGAGCTTCTGTGGGAATTTAAGGGCGGTGTGAGGGAATGGAGGTGGATTTCATATGTGGCTTTCCAAAGCAATTAACATCACAGTGGAAGATACTGATATTGATTCTGGTTGGTAAAAGGGCTTAGCAAAACTAAAATAAAGCCCTGGTTTGGCATACAGATATTTCTGTGTGTTACTGTTGGTCACAGTGAATTATACAAATACTATTTTCCAACTTTATAAGACAATTCCAAAAAAGGTTGCCTTGGGAAAACTACCATGTGAAGCCCATGGAGAGGAGGAAGAGTAGGAACTCCTCTGCTTGTAAGTTATTCCCTGTCCAAGAACACATGTGTAATCCTGATGTCTCTGTGTTCTCTGCTGTGCTGCAGGTGGCTGCTGTGGCTCTGATGAGAAGCAATATGTGTATGGAGGCTGGGCCTGGGCTTGGTGGTGCATTACTGACACCCAAAGGTAAGGAGACCCCTGTTATTTGTGGGCTTTTGGAGTGGGAATTTGGCAAAATCATCCCAGTGAGGCTGTCAGCAGTATTTTTAGGAACACTGGATCAGGCACTGTGTGTGAAACCAGGGATGAGCATCAGGAGTTCTTTGCTGGCTGTTGGCATGGGGACAGCTGAGTGCCACAGTGCAAAAGACACACACAAAAAAAAAGAAATCACATGCTTTCAGCTGGATTGCTTTTCAAGCGGCCTCTATGTCCACAAGAGGAGCCAAGCTCTGCCCAGTATGGCCAACCCCTCACCCAGTAACAAACCAGTTCATGGCCTGCAGTGCACCAGTGCCCCCCTCTGCTCCTCAAGTCTCTCTTTGTAAAGATCTGCTGACTGCTGTCACCTTGGGAGCAGACTGTTCCGATTTAAAACCACGGGATTTTCTTTCTCTCCCTTTCCTCAGCTGTGGATTTTGCTTGCTGCTGCTTTACAGTCTGGTCTCTGAGCTGACGTGCTGTGGTAGTGCTGCTGTCCTGCTAATACAGCTCTTTGTCTCTAGGATCTGTAGGAATGCTCCAATACATCCCTCATGCTCACTGATACAGGTTTCCCCTGTCTGTGGAAAAAAAAAAAAAAATAAGAGGGAAAAGGATAAAGACGTGACTTTTGAGTTTTACACTGAGTAATGGCCAGAGGTTGTAGTTAACCCTTACAGCCTCTTCCAACCTCTTTTCCCTGTACCTGTGTTGTCACCAGCAAAGTGAGCATGTGGCTGCCCTCACTCTGCACATGATGGGAGGTTGGAGAGGAAGGAAAAGCCCGACTTGTGGGCTCAGTATTTAAGGGCTGCATTTGAGCCAGACAAGCTTCATTCCCAAATTTTTGTGAGATCTTGTTGGGAGAACTGTTTATTGAACAAATGATTCTCACTTCTCCTCTTCGTCTGTGAGAAGCACAAAGAGCAGTACGGGACCTTGACCTGCCCAGTGCAGAAGATCAGACACATTTGGGAGGCTGATTTGTTAAGTTAAAGATAGGCTGAATCCAGGGCCAAGAACTGGATTGCCAGGAATGAGCTGTTATATGATAGAGGGCTGGGCATTATTTAGCAAGTGGGACTCTTGACAGGAATTCCAGCATCCAAACAAATATTCTGCTTTAAAATCCATACCAGTTCGTGCCGTGGGATGTGGGGCTTACGTCTCCTTTCTCACATGCCATAAGCTGTGCCCCAGATGGAGCCCGCTGCATTAACATGAAGAGTGAGACAGACTTCCTTCTCTGAAATTAGGACATTTTTTCCTGGAACTGCCGGTGCTGCAAGCAAGAGAGACAGGAGCAATTGTGTTGCTGTCAGCGGCATCCCGCCAGGTAGCATTAACCTGGGAACAAAAGGAACAGTTAGAACTGGCAGGCTGCTGGGCACTTATCCTGCTGCAACCTTGAGCACTGGGGAAAAACTAGGGGAAAAAATGCTGTCCCTGTTTAGGGGTCAGAAATAAAAGCAGTGAGAGAGACAGTGTGGTCTAATATGCCTCTGGGGAAGCCAAATGGTGCTAATTCAGCTTCCCAGGACAGCACTTGGAAGTGGTTTCTCTCCTCAATGCCTTAGCCAGGGGTGGGTAGCCAGGTCCCTGGTGTTTTCATTTATCTTAAATACTGACATAGAAACATCTAAATTATTACCAAAAGGAATTTTTCTGTGTGCAAAGATTACTTCAACAGAGAACTCCAGTTGACACCAGGATGGCACAGTTTTGTGTGCAGGGTGGGGACGAGCCGCCAACCTGTTTATCCTCATTAAAAGAAACTGCTGGATGCTGTAAACTCCCTCCTGTGACCAGGGAAGCTGATTATGGAGCAGGCAGTGGGAGAAAGGCAAACTGACCAGGGAAAAGCTGAAACCTGAAAGTCTCGTCTGTCCTTTGCAACGAGTGTCTTACTCTCTGGTAACTGCTCTGTGTATTTGCTGTCCTACCCTTACTCCTCCCTGCTCAGAGTGTCTTTGGAGGTTTTGACCATCCTCTGTCGCTGCGAGAATGTTGAGACGTCGGAGGGGGTCCCACTGTACGTAACAGGGGTTGCACAGGTAATAATCCTCCAGCTTCCTAAAACCCTGTCTCTTTATCCCTCTGTTTTGAGCAGCAGCAGCAGCAGCAGGATAACATAAAAACTAATGGTTTTCTAACGGGACAGCTGAAATCTCTATAGTCTCCTCTCCTTCCCCTTCTCCAGCACTTGCTCTGTGGCACTCCACAGTTCATGGGTAATGCAGACAGGTACATTCCTGGCAAATTCCAAATTCAGCATTGCTGTACCTAACATTTGCTCCTACTGTAACCCTTTCCTTGCTAGCACTGTCTCCACTGGGGGCTTGGGGGAGAGCAGAAGGGCATCTGGAGGCACACTTTTGTGTGGAGGCACAGGCAGGCCAGGTTGGATTCTGTACAGCATTTGGGACAGGTGGGCAGGCAGGTTTTGTGCCATTTCAAAATTGCAAATGTGCCTGGCTCTGCAGTGTTGGCTGTGGATTCCCACTCAGCCCTTCTTCCTCCACATGGAGACTCTACCCATTTTGGATGTTATCACCTTTGAAAATACAGCACAGAGACCTCAGATGAATTGCAGCACAACAGGACTGGCTTTATGAACCAGTAATGACTAAATATCCCAGTGAACAGAACTAAGAAGCAGCACAGTTTGGAAATTAAATTCGAAGTCTAGATTAGGCCTTCAGAAGGCTGAAATCCTGCAGTGTCTGATTAAAGCTGTGAACACATGGCAAAAAATGCCTGTGCATGTCCTGGACAGTAGGATGTGTTTTATCAGCTCTCAGTTTGCGTGCCAGTTTAATTAGGACAGTGGCCAAGGCAGGCACAAACTTGCAGGGATAGGTTTCAGCACTTCCAGCCAATCCTAGAGCAACTCAGCGTGCACACAGCAGCCCAGGGCAGCCCCTTCATGGTTCAGATGTTTGACCTGATGTTCACTGACACAAACTCTGCCCCGTGGCTCCCTGTCCTGACTCCCAACGTCTCTCTGGCTCATTATACAGGAGCCAGGCTTGGCTTCCTGGAGCAGAACCTGCCACAGCTGAAGATGTCTCTTGTTTTACCAAATTGTGACCTGTCAGCAGATTGCTGGGACTGACCAAAGTACCTCGAGCCTACCTGGGGTGACTGATGGAGCTCTGGAGCTGCAGGATTTGTTCCTGGGTGCCTGATACTCTGCAGGTGTGGCCACAAAGAGCTGGAGACTCATTTCCAGAGGTGAACCAGGTCAGGGGGTAGGTCTGTGGTAGGGCTAATCCAGGGCTTCTACAGCATCAGTGTCAGGTTCTGCCAAGCACCAGCATTCATGCCAGTTCTGTGCTGTGCTTTCAAACCAGTGACACCTCCCCGTGCTGCCATGGCGTTGGGCAGCATGGCACAATGAGCCTCTGACAGAGGGCCCTTTGGGGTCCCAACCCTGCAGCTTCTGGCTCCTCACTAACCCAGCAGGAGGGAAAGGGCCACGAGGTAATTTCCAGTCTGGATTCCACCCTTCGATGATAAATTACCTTTAAGCATTATCTGAAAATCTATTTCTTGGCCACAATGCCCTGTCTGTCTCCAGTCACAGATGCGGTCCCTTGGCTGCATTCTGTGCCTGCCTTGCATTACCTGTGATGAGTGCAGCAGGTAGCCCGGGGCAGGAGATGCAAAGGGAAGAGCTGAGTGTGTGTAACGTGGAAACGTGCAAATATTTTACGTTTTTTGGCAGGATTTCCCTAGAGATAATGACGTTACAGCCCAGGTGTGAGGACGTAGAGACGGCGGAGGGGGTAGCTATAACTGTCACAGGTGTGGCACAGGTACAGTAACTCCAAAACATCATTTCAGGAATGCATGTCTCTACCTTACATCTGGTTTTCCCTCTGAAGAGGTTGCTGTTGTCCAGGGAGAGAAACCAGCTGCTCTGGAATAAATCTTTGTACCAAATCACATTGTCCTTGTTGGTACAAACACTCTCCAGCATGTTCCATTTGGTGAAGGGGGTTGTGACTTCTCCTTCTCTGCCCAGAATTAATTTTTTTCTGGTGTCTCATTTGTCCACATGGCAAATGAGGTGTGTGGGGTGACTTGATGTGTTTGTGGAATGCTGATGTGCTGTGGTGCCCTTGGAGCTGTGTGTGACCCCACAGGACTGACCCATAACCTCCTGAGATGGTATCGAGCGTTTTGTTCTGTTGGCACATGGGCCTTGTAATTCTTCATGGTAAGTTAAAGCTTGAAAAAAAAAGAATTTAGTCCCTCCAGGCACTAAAACTGGCATGTGAAATTTTTGGCTGGAATTGAAGTTTTATTCTCTACAGCTTTCTTCAAATGTAAGAACCTGCTTTTGCTGCTTGTGGCAGCACACCCAAACCCTGCACTTCTTGGAGTCTGAGGTCTGCTGTCCTGGTACTGTCCTGCCCTGGGTAGGATGCTGGGAGGGGGATGTTAGTTTTTGAGGGAATTGGCTCCTCAAATAGGCAGCTGGATGCTGTGATTGAAAATTACTCCTGACAGCTCATTCTGCAGTTGAGTGTGCAAACCAAGAGTGGCTCTCAGTGCACACAGGGCTGTGGTCACTGTGTGTCCAGGTGTGTTGTCACAGGACAAGTGGCTGCCACATTCACTGTGGGGAGCTCTGGAGCCAAGGGGATCTGTTGAGTGAAAATCCCTCATGGACTCAGCACCCTTGGTTTCTATTTTTTAGTACTTTATATCCGTCTTTCACTTAGTTTCCACTTCTTGATATCTATTTAGTTGCTAAGGTATCACATAACCCCAGTGGTCTTTGCATGGTTGGCGAAAATGTGTGCACCCATTTCTCCCTTCACACTCTTTTCCTAAATCTGTAGGCTTTTCCTTCTGTATTTGGTATTTCTCTAAAGCCAGCATTCCTTTTTGTCCTGGTTTTGGGAAATCCTTCCTGCAAAATGGTCTGGTAGCAGAGGGCTGGATCACTAGGTGCCTTGATTTGAAAATGCAGACCCCAGTTCATCTCATTCATGTTATTCTCTCTTCTCACTGTTCAGTTTTTCCACTGACAGTTAATTTTAAAGCTGTGATCCAAGGAATTGTCATACAGAAAGCAGCCTCAAGGCTGTTGGGGATGTGCATGGCAGAGATTACCTTAATTCTGCAGAAGTACTTTTTGAGGCAAACATTTTTCTGTTAAGAGCTTGAGCAAAAAAAAAAAAAAAAAAAAAAAAGGGAAAAAAACCCAAACAAATTATTCCTAGAGAAACAGCTTTTAAAGTGTTTGCTGCAATGATAGAAGTGCTTAATGTGCATAAGGATGCTGTTCTTTTCTTGAGGAGGGATGTAATGAGTGCTCACCAGTAGCCTCATTCCCATGTCGGCTGGGATGTGCTGGGCTCTATATCCTTCTGTAACATTTTCCTGAGCCTCCAGCTAATTGGATTCTCTGTGCTCACCCCTCACTGCGAGTGCAGCTGGCTGGAGCAGGGTGTGGTGGCATCGATCCTGCACAGGGGATTGCTGGATGGAGGCTCTCTGATCCCCTGCCAGCCGAGGGCTCTCCCTCTGATGGGAATGACATTTGAGTGTTGCCGTGCCCTGCCTGAAACCCTGCAAAACACGCTGAGCACAAATTGCTCAACTCTGGTTTCTTTTGTGCAGCCTTTGCTTTGGAGGTTGGGATCTGTATTCCGTGCAGAGCCAGGCTCCCGTGGGCTGGCCAGAGCTCACCAGTGGAGGCTGGCTGGCTTTATCCAGAGGCTGAATCATTCCTTGCTCCTAAGTACCACAGGGATTCTCCTAATGAACATCCTGCCCTGTGCTTTGTCCTCCCACAGCTCCTGAGGGTGGGGATTGTTTGGAGAGGTGGAATTGCTGGCAGATGCTCGCCATAAATGTCGCTGCTGAGTCTAATTGCTTTTGCTACTTGCAAAAATCTCCTATTTGCTGTGAGAGGAGCCTCGTGCAGGGCTCACTCCTGAGTGCAGCTCCAGAGCAGCTCTCCCAACTCCTTGTGTGGGAAGAGCACACTGCTGGCCTGGGGTGTAAGGACAAGAAAAACTACTGCAGAATTGGCCCTGAAAGGACCCCAAGAGACTTTGGGGACAATGTGGAAGAGGATTGCCACGCTTGCCTGAAGTTGTTTGCCATTTTGACTGGGAGACCTGGTCTGGGAAGCAGCAGTAGGAAACAGGCTCAGCCTGGGTTGGTTGGGGCAGGGTTGTGGCAGGTGAGTTTTGGCCAGCTCACTCTGTCTAGCATGGTCCACCTCCTGTCCCCTTAGAAGATGACAGTCAGTCCCAGTTGTCCTGCTCTCTGGCAGTGCCTGGGCCATGTGCTGCTGTTTGGCTCTGGAGGGATCATTCTGTGTGTGTGGGCTGTCAGACAAGGCTCTCGAGGAAGAGTTGTGTTGCTTTTGCAGCTGAAAGTGCTAGAAGGTATCAGGATGAGGTCTGTAGCCTGTGAATCCCTCAGTCGTGTGCACTAGGACCCTCAGAGGGCCCCTGTACAACAGCTGTGCTTTGGAAAACTTGGAACCAGGTCCAGACAAGGCCCTTGGGGCAGGACTCAAGGTGCCACCAGCTCCTTGTGGGACAGGAGGCACTGCCCAGGCCAGCTGTGTCCATGAGAGGGTGCTGTAGGATCCAGAAAGCTGTGTGGCTGCTCTGGACCTGCTCCTTCTCTGGTGCTGGCAGGCACAGAATGTCCCTGTGCCCAGCCTTTGCCTGAGCCCTCAGACTGGACGTGGCCACTAGAAGCTGCTGTCTTGGTGGGTTGCACTCCTCATAGCTGGGTGTTGTAGAGCACAGATCTCCACTGCCTAACACACTCCACAGGGATTTGTAATTCACTTTGCCTTTGAAAAACAGCCCTGTGACCAGCAGGACCATCCTAAGAACCTGGCTTGGCTGGAATGGGGGCACTTTTATGCCTGGCTCTGGTGTAAGAGAGGTGAAAACATTGCTGGGGTGGCTGTGTCCCCGCTCTGGGGATTGTCACCAGACTGACCATGTGGAGCAGAACAGCCAAGTCCTGACCGTGGCACATTGGGGTCATTGCAAAGGATGTCTGGGAGCTCCCAGTTACAGGCAGGACAAACCAGTGGCCTTATTGTCTCATCTCTCCTTCCAGGGAACACTGAATGGAACCCTTGCTCCCAAGCTGCTCTTTGGGCATGTCAGACTCTTTCTTAGTCTCTTGTCTTTTTGGGCTCAGAAAAATTCATTCTAGCGAAAGAGGAGGAAGAGGAAGGTAACAAAATGGGTTTTGGCCAGAGGTGGTTAATACCCAGCTTTCTTCTGTCTCTGGTGTTGGTGCAGTGGCTAAACTGCTGTTTCAGGGTTTTTTGTAGGGTTTCTGTTAGCTGGGACTGGTAGGGCCAGGCTCTGTCCCCACTGCTGAGCACCTCCACGCTGAGCTGCTGTCAGGGTTTGGACAGCACAGAGAGCAGGGGCTCTCTGGCTGGTCCGGTGGCCTGGCTCAGCCTGGTGGCAGCTCAGTGTGGTCCCTTGGAACATCAGTAGCACGGGGGCCTGGCAGCCTGGTGGTGGTACTGCTGCTTCTGCTGCTGCTGCTGCTGCTGCTGCTGTGGGGTGCCTGCACCTCCTGGACAGGCACCTTCAGTCCCCTTGGTTCTGTCTCCTGTCTCTAGGTGAAGATAATGACCGAAAAGGAGCTCCTGGCTGTGGCCTGTGAGCAGTTCTTGGGGAAGAACGTGCAGGATGTGAAGAACGTGGTGCTGCAGACTCTGGAGGGACACCTGCGCTCCATCCTAGGTATGGAGGGGCTCATCCCCTGGAGGCATCTGGAGTGGCTTTGTCCCTTCTCAGCTGGCTGGTCCCAGCAGTATCGCTGCCCCCACGCAGCCACACAGGACCTTCCTGTGCTGCCTGCAGAGGAGGCATCTCCCCTCCAGCAGCTCCCTCTGCGTGGCTGGGCCTTGTGATAAATGAGTTTTCGGTGCCTGCAGTGAGAGATGTCTGAGTCCCCAAGGGCCATAGGTAGCACATGTGGGTGGTGGTTGCACTTGTGAGACTGAGATGTTGCTGTGGCAGAGGATTACACCCTTGTGCCCAGGCCTGAAGATATTAGGGACAACAAGGATGTTGCTGAGCTTAGACCCACATTTTTGTGTGTTACCTGTTCCAAATAAAGTGCTTCACCTTCCTCCCCTCTGCAGGTACCCTGACAGTGGAGCAGATTTACCAGGACAGGGACCAGTTTGCCAAGCTGGTGCGGGAGGTAGCAGCTCCTGACGTGGGTCGCATGGGGATCGAGATCCTGAGTTTTACCATCAAGGTACACCCAGATGCTGGGCACTGCTCTAGGCAGGGCTGTAGGAGCAGCAGGAGAGAGCCTGGCCCTGACCCCCCTGCTGCAGCTGGAAGGCTGAGGCTGACAGCCTGGCCAGCCCTCCGGGAGTTTCCATGACAGCCGCCGCAGCATGTCCTGTATCCAGGCAGCTGGGCCAAGAGCAGCCGGGTAGCTGCCTCTGTAAACAGGCTCGTGGAGAGAGCTGGCTGATAACCCAGCCTCCCGGGAGGGAGGGAAGATGTCTGGATGGCCTCCTTCTCCCTGCCCTCCCTGTTTGTTTGGAGCAGCTGACGTGACGCGTTCTGACCCTGGCCTGACCACTCAGCTTCAGTGAGAAAGGGAGCAAGATGGAGTCACTCATTTGAAGTGGTTATGACTTATCTCCCCTCCTCAGGATGTCTATGATAAAGTGGATTACCTGAGCTCCCTGGGGAAGACTCAGATTGCAGCTGTCCAAAGGGATGCAGATATTGGAGTGGCAGAAGCTGAGCGGGATGCTGGCATTCGGGTGAGTCCGGAGACATGCTGAGCTTCCCTGGAGCAGCCTTTTCTGCTCCAACTGCATGCCCTGAAGCTCTGCTCTCTGTTCCCTCTCTGCAGGAGGCACAGTGCAAGAAAGAAATGCTGGATGTCAAGTTCTTGGCAGATACAAAAATAGCAGATTCCAAACGGTCCTTTGAGTTGCAGAAAGCTGCCTTCACTGAGGAGGTCAACATTAAGGTGAGAGTGTCCCACAGCCTATTGCTGTTCCCTGGAGGGTCTGTGATGGTGTTGCTGACTCTGGGACTTGTCAGCTTCCTCCTCCTGCATCTGTTAGGAGAGCTGGGGGTGGAGGGCCCAAGTCTGTGTCACTGTGAGCTCCTTGCAGCAGATTCCTCTCCTGTTTGCAGCAATTCAGCGGAACTTGAAGAAGAGGAAAGGGTGGGGAGGGTTGAACCTGGAGCTGATTTGGCTTAAGTGCTGTGGGAAGAGCAGTAGTGAGGATTGGGATGTTATCACTGGGAAAAGGTTCAATAGCAGGAGTTGTGTCTGGTTTTGGGGTCCTTATGTCTGTGTACCTGAGTTCGTGGTGGCCCTGACCCCTCTTGTCCTCTCCCCCACGTGCAGACTGCAGAGGCCCAGCTGGCCTACGAGCTGCAGAGCGCCCGGGAGCAGCAGAAGATCCGTCAGGAGGAGATCGAGATCGAGGTGGTGGAGCGCAAGAAGCAGATCGAGGTGGAGGAGAAGGAGGTGGTCCGCATGGAGAAGGAGCTGGTGGCCACCGTGAAGCAGCCAGCCGAGGCCGAAGCCTATCGCATCCAGCAGATCGCTGAGGGCGAGAAGTGAGTGAGCACAGTGCTGCCCTCAGCCCCAGCTCCTGGGCTCTCTGCAGGGATCCGGGCTGCTGCAGGGCTTCATTTCCCTTTCCAGGGTGAAGCAAATCCTCCTTGCTCAGGCAGAGGCAGAAAAGATCCGCAAGATCGGAGAGGCCGAGGCTTTTGTGATCGAGGCCATTGGGATGGCGGAGGCTGAGGGGTTGAAGCTGAAAGCAGAAGCACTCCAGAAGTATGGAGAAGCTGCCCAGCTGTCTCTAGTGCTTGATGCACTGCCTGAGGTGAGGAGGGGGCAGCTTTCCCCTGCTCCAGGTGGGCTGGTTTCCCAGACTGGGCTAGGTGTCCTGGGGACACAGCAAGGCCCTGTAGGGACCTTTCCCAATGAGCTGCTGAGCAGTTCCTTGACTCTCTGCTCACCCTGCTTCCCCAGATCGCTGCCAAAGTGTCTGCTCCCCTCTCCAAAGTGGATGAGATCGTTATTCTCAATGGAGAGAAAGGCAGCACCATGTCTGATGTGAACCGTCTCCTGGCTGAGATCCCCACCTCCGTGCGTGCCATCACCGGTGTGGATCTCACAAAGGTGAGCTGGGCACTGGCAGCTGGCAATGCCAGCTGCTCTTAGGGCACAGAGAAGTGCCTGGAAGCTGTAAACCTCCCAGGGAGCCTCTCCTTCCCCAGCCCTGCCCAACACAGAGTGCAGGCAGCGCCCTGCCTCCCCCTCCTGCAGCCCTAACAGCTTCTCTCTTCCCCTCCTGCAGCTTCCTCTGTTCCAGAAAGCCACCGAGGCCAAGGAATGAGGTTGGCCAACCCAAAGCTCGTGAATATCACTCCCTGTTATGCACTCGGACATCAACTGCCTTCAACACATGGGAATTCCTTTTATATCAAAGACAATCCGAGTTTCGTTTGTAACTGGTGCCTTATTTTGTAGGGCCAGAAAGATGCATGTTCTGTCTGCTGCTCTTTTTATTCCAAGGCTGAGAGAGGATTTATTTTCTAATTAACTTTGTGTTGTCTCAGGCCAATCCCATCCCCAGTTATGACTGGCAACTTGTCTGGTGTTGCAGTCCCTGTGCCTTGCTGTTTTCTGCCCTGGGGTGAACACCTGGGACGTGGAGCAGAGTCTTGGGGAGTTTTAGGAAGAGGACCAGGACCCCCCTCCCCTGGGCTCCTTGCCCTCTCTCAGTGACCCTCCTGGCCCTGTCCCAGCCCTGCCTCTGCCCACAGCTGTCCCTGTGGCTGGCTCTCCCTGTCCCTCAGGACCCCCACAGTGCCAGCAGCCCTGCCCAGGCTGGGTGGGTGGCAGTCACCCCCCCAGGAAGGTGACAATCCAGCAATAGCAGTGGGTGCTGCTCTCTCCCGTGCTGGTTCCCCTGGGGGACTTTTCCTCATAGGATCTGAAGCAGGGAGAGCTCAGGCCTGGTGCGATCTCACCGCCATGAATACCAAAAAGCAGCACTGTGCCAAAGCCACCCATCCCCTGAGAGGGCAGTGAAGCCACTGTGGCTGCTGTGACACTTCCCAACCCACAACTGCTCAAGCAGAGTGGTGGTCAGAGGTGGGTGGGGGACCAGCTGGACACTGAGGTGGGGACAGGCTCCTCCAGCCCAGCCTCCCTCCCTTCCCCTGCCTCTTACGGCCAGTGGCTTTGCTGCCTTGTGACAATGTGAAAGACATTGTCCCCCGTGTGTGCCAGTCCTCCCCACAGTGCCACCAGCGCCCTGTGCTGGCCCGTGCCCCTTCCCTGCCTGTCTCAACGCCTGTGTTCAGTGTGGCTGGCACAGTTCAGTGTGTGAAGTCAGCCTGGCACTGCTGGGAGCAGGGGCATCCTGTACCCCCAGCTCAGTGCCCCCACCCCGTGCCATGGGATGGCTGCAGGTCCCTCAGGGTGGTGTCCTTCACCAGGAGTGACCCATGGCGGGTGTGCAGGGCCCCCCTGTGCCCTCCCTGCCACCGGGGGTGGGGAGTGGTGTTATCAGCCCCCGGCTTGTGCTGGCCCGTGGGCGGATCTGGCGCTGGCCGGGCCGGGCCCTATCTGCATGTGGCCGCCACCCCGCTGCTGCCAGATAATAAACCCTTGTCACCTCCTGCCTGGGCTCGGTGTCATCCTTCTCACCCGTCTGTCCCACCCTGGCTCCCCTGGGTGGCTTGGGCTGGCCAGGGGCTGCTGGCCCGGGAGATGAGGGAACAAGGTGCCAGCTCACGCTGCTCCTCCAAAGCTCCTGGCAGCTCCATGGTCACCGTGTCCCCATGGGCGCTGTGTCCCAGCACTCCTTGGCATCCGCAGGGTGAGTGTGGAGCCACGTGCAGCGTGAGCCCAGGAGGTGACCTCTGCAGGGCACCCCAAAGAGTGGCACCCTGGGGTCAGGAGAAGGGCTGGCAGGAGCTGAAGGTGCTGTGTCACAGCAGCCAGGCTGGTGGCAGCAGCTCATGTCCCCCTGCCCTGCCACCCTCCCAGCTCCACACACCCTTCCCTGCACTGGGGGACAGCAGAGGGTGGTTCTGGGGGTACCTGTCCTGCTCGAGGTGACCAGTGACAGCCAGCATGGGGGGCTTTGCTGCACTGCCCTCCCTGGGGAAAATGGTTTCTTTGTGCCCTCCATGTCCCCTTAAACCCAGGGCAGGACAACAGGCCCTGTCCTATGTGTCCTGCAGGGTGGCCCTGCAGATAGGCAGGGTGGGGACAGCTCTGCAGCTCCCAGTGCCTCCTTATCTGGCGGCAGGCACGCTGCCCTGGGGCAGCCTGGCTGCTGGGAGGGCTGTGGCACTTGGGGGTCTCCTGTGGCACCTGGGGGTTCCCACAGCAGCTGTGGTACCAGCCTGGGGGACAATCAGGCCCCTTCTGCCACTGTGGGGTACAAGGCCACAGGGCAGCATGGAGATAATCCCACGGGGACAATCCCTGGGACTCACCTGGAGCTGGCCGGGCTTGGGGGACTCGGGGACACTTTGCCCGTGTCACTGCTCTGCGTGCTGGGGTGCCTGTGCCACAGTTTGGGGAACACTGGGGGCTCCAGGACACTCGGGTCACAAGAGGGACCAAAACAGGGGGTCCCTTGCAGCCCCCAAGTCCCAGCAGCCACATGTCCTGGGACACGCTCAGACCAGGGCTTGACCCTGTGCCCCCTCCTGCCAGGAGAGTGTGGGCCATGCTGGCCCTGCTCCTGTCACCCAGAGGGGACAGCGGGTCCAGGGACACCTTGTGTGGCAGGGCAGGGTCCCTGATAGCCGGGGCTGCTGCTTATCGGGACCCCGAGCACACAGGGGATTATCACCTCCCCCCAGGCGATTTCCAGGAATGCCAGCCTGTCCTGGAGCAAACAACCGGCACAATGGGACAGCGCTGGCTGCGGGATGTGGCCCTGTGGGGACAGACAGGGCTGGGGGACACAAATGACCAGAGTCATGCACAGGCAGGTGACACTCACGGGTCACAGGGGTGGAGCCGTTTGGGGACAAGTATGGCCAGGGTCATGTGCAATGAGGGGACACAGCCCTCTTGGGGACACACGTGCTCAGGAGGGGCATGTTCTCGGGGGGGACACAACCAGGGGTTACATCCCTCCAGGGGACACAGATGGCCAGGGGAGCATGTCCTTTGGGGACACCAAACTGGGGGATGCATCCCTCAAAGGGTCACATCCCCACGGGTGGGGGAATGTGTTTTGAGTGTCCCTAAAGGCAGGAGGGCAAATCCTTTTTTTGGGGACACACTGCTAGGGGTCATGTCCCTCAGAGGAGCAAATATGGCCAAGGGCACAGCACTAGTCACTGACCCCAGGGGACACAGGCTCCCTGCACCCACGGGTGCCCTGTGCCTCACCTGAGGGTGCCTGTGTGGGGTGACCTGTGTAGGGTGACCCTCACTCCCAGATGTCCCTCCTGGGCCCCATCCCCTGCCCTGTCCAACACCACTGTCCAGGAACCAGTTTGCAGTGGGAAGCTCCCAGTTCAGGGTCCCCACAACTATGGGAAGGGATAATCCTGGTCACCACAGGAGGATGGGGCATTTGTGAGGCCACCCTGAAGTGGAAGACCCCTTCAAACCCCACATCCCCCCATGGACAATGCCAGGCTGGGTGGGGGGAGCTGCTCGGGGCGGTGCCCCCCCCGGGCATGAAGGGGTTAAGGGCCCCGTCCAGCTGTGCAGTGCAGATGTGAGATATGCAGATGAGGCAGAGCAGGTTTTATAAGGCGGGTGTGGATCCAGCACCCCACAAAGCCCCAGTGCCACCCCCACAGGTAGGTGCCACCACCTGGAGCTGCTGTTCTGCTCAGGGTCGGTGGGACTGGGGAGACAAAGGTGGGATTTTGGGAACCCCTGTCCTGCTCTGAGATGGGGGGCTGGAATGAAAGGGGGGGTTAGGGGCAGGCTGTGGTAGGGAGGCAATTGGGAGCCCTCCATCCCTCTCTGGGGCAAAGATGGGGTAGGGGGACGATAGGGAACCTCTGCTCCTCTCCTGGGAGGTGGGAATGGGGTGACAAAGAAGGATTAGGGGCGATATCTGGGTAGGGAAGGCACTGAGATCCTCTACCCTGCTCTGGGTGGAGGAATTGGGAGGGTGGGGAGGTGCTCAGGAGGCGACAGGATGGGGCTGGGGGACAGGGTGACACCGAGGTGGCGGTGGGTGGCTCCCTGCCCACGCTGTCTGTCCCCTGCAGGCTCTGCTCTCCTCTCCGCGCTGTCCCGGGCAGGATATCATCGTATACTGTAAGTTGGCTATGAGACACTACAGTATAGATGATGTACTCCCCGGGCTGCACCGACCTCCTCCCGCCGCAGCCACCGGGACACGGCCCGGGGCACCGGGATCAGCGACACACGACACCGCTGGGACATCCCGGGCTGGGACAGGACCCGGACACTGCCGGACCCGCGGCCGGCGGGGAAACCGTTACCATTACTGAGTTTAGTAATGGTAACGGTTCTGCCGACGGCCGGCAAGGCGGCACGGCACGGAATGGCACGGGATGGCACGGGAATGGCACTGGAATGGCACGGGATGGGACGGGATGGGATGGGAATATCCTGGGATGGGATGGGATGGGGATGGGATGGACACAGTGACAGAGCCCTGGGGACAGGCACAGGACAATAAAGAGTCACAGAACCGCGGCTCCGCTCTCCTTCCTCACCACATTCCCCTGGGGATTCCGGGCCTGGCACAACTGGGGTGCGCTGGGACAAACGGGGGGGTGTGCTGCAGAAGGGACTGGGAGCGCTGGGCTGTGTGATGGGGAACACTGGAGGCGCTGGGACACTGGTGACATTGGTGACACTGGGAGGACAGTGGTGACACTGGTGACATCGGGAGCATGGTGATGGGGGGGCACTGGTGACACTGGGAGGGCACTGGTCACACTGGTGACACCGGGAGGGCACTGGTCACACTGGTGACACCGGGAGCATGGTGATGAGGGGACACTGGTGACACTGGGAGGGCACTGGTGACACTGGTGACACCAGGAGCATGGTGATGGGGGGGGCACTGGTGACACTGGGAGGGCACTGGTGACAGCAGGAGCATGGTGATGTTGGGGCACTGGTGACACTGGGAGGGCACTGGTGACACTGGGAAGGCACTGGTGACACTGGTGACACCGGGAGCATGGTGGCACGGGGGCGCACTGGTGACACTGGGAGGGTACTGGTGGCACTGGTGACACCGGGAGCATGGTGACACGGGGGAACACTGGTGACACTGGTGACACCGGGAGCATGGTGACAGGGGGGACATTGGTGACACTGGGAGGGCACTGGTGACACGGGGGGACACTGGTGACACTGGTGACACTGGTTACTCTGGTGACATTGGTGACACCGGGACCCCGCGGGGCCGCCACCTGCGCCACGCGGTGCCACCGGCAGGGGGCGCTCCCGCGTCCCCGCCCCGCTCCGCCGGGCCCAAGGCCGCCTCCATCCCACAATTCCCCGCGGCGCAGCGGCGCTCTGGCCCCGCGCTGTCCGCCAATGGCAGCGGGCACCGCTCGTTTCCCGGCGTGCCCCGCGGCGGGCCAGCATGGCGGCTCCCATGGCCGCGGCTGCCGCCCGCGCCGCGCTCCGGGCCGCCGGTGCCGCTGGTGCCGCCGCGGTGAGGCCGCTCCGGCTGCGAGCGGGTGCGCTGGGGCCGCGGGTGTCCTCTAGATGCGGGAGGTGGCGGGCGGGGCCGGCCGAGATGCTTTGTGGTGACTTGAGCGCTGCCCGGACGCTGCGTGTGGAGGCGGGCGCGCGCGCGAGCTCGGTGCGTTTTGGGTTCGTTCTTGGTGAATTCGGTGTTTTCTTCCAGCCCGCCTCCCGGGGAGCCGCTGCAGCGGGATTATCTCGGCGCTGGGCGGGATCCCGAGCGTTCCCCGGCGCTGCAGCGGGAGCAGCTCGGCGCTGGGCACCCTCCTGGGCATCCCCGCCGAGGCCGCGCCCGCCGCGCTGGGCCAGCACCCGCCGCCCGTGGCCACCGATAAAGGTGAGTGCTCGCTCTGCCGCCCCGCCGCAGCGCGATGCTGGCCCGCGGAGGGTTTGGCAGCGTCCCAGCTCCTCCTTTCCCCGGCAGAGGAGCAGAAGCGGCTGCTGGAGAGTCGTCCCGAGCAGCCCCAGCAGCCCAAAGTGCTGAGGATCGCCATCATCGGCGCTCCCAACGCCGGGAAATCCACGCTCTCCAACCAGCTCCTGGGCAGGAAGGTGAAGCTGGGGTGCAGCTCAGGTTATTTCCTTGGGTTTTTGGCACGTCCTGGCTGTGTAACGCGCTGAATGAATTTCCTGCAGGTTTTCCCTGTCTCCAGGAAGGTGCACACCACCCGCTGCAAGGCCTGGGGTGTCATCACACACGAGGACACGCAGCTGGTGAGTCCTGGAGCAGCATTTGCTCATCTGTATGCCATGAGATCATCTCTCATTGCACAAAGATAGGGCTTTCCCCTGACCTCTCACTGCTGGCCAACGTGAAATGTTTGTTTTTCCTTTTCCTAGATCATCCTGGACACACCTGGCCTCACAAATCCCTTAAAAGCCAAAAGGTACCAGCACTGGGGTGGGGAGGGGGGTGTGTGCTGCCTAGCAAGAGTTGATAAAACAGGAATGTAATTTTCACTGTGCAAAGTCTGTAAAACAGGAGTGAGATAAATGCATATTTTTAGCCTTGTTTTGTTTTTCAATGATTTTTTTTGGTTGCCATTTCAGTAGCACACAGAGCCTGTGATGTCCCTTGAGCCTTTTTGTGTGTGGTTCTATGTGTCTGCACATGACAAGGGATGTCACAACCCCTAAAGCAGCTTTGAGGCAGCTGGAATGAGGGAAAACACTGGTTTCCCTCTAGTTTGAGAGGGAGGAACACAATTATAATGAAGTGTGTCTGTTTTACTCATTTATTACGTGTCTTTCAGGCATAATTTAGATGAAACCATGCTGACAGACCCATGGGACAGCATGAAACATGCAGATTTAGGTGCGTTTTCAACTATTTTTTTTTTCTATCAAACCAAATCCTTTTCTGCCACACAAGTTCCCAGCTGTGGTATCTGGGTGTTTGCTGGCAGCACAGGCAGCCCAGGGAGTGTGAACAAGGAAGGAAAAGTAGAGAAAAGATCTGGAATATTCAGCTGAGGAGGGGATCAGAACTGCCTGATGCCAAGGGGAGGCACTTTGGGTTAATAATTGGGTTTGGATGTTGAGATTTAGCACGTGTGATGTCATTAGGGTGACATGGGTAAGGTGCATTTTTAGTGTTTTCAATAAAATTCTTCTTTTTGTGCCTCTCCTGAGGAGGGGAGTGACCACAGGCTCTAAAGCTGCAAGTGAACATTGTGGAAAATGTGGATTAATCCTGTTTCACTCCCTTTTTCCTGGCAGTCCTGGTTCTGGTGGACGTGTCGGATCACTGGACACGGAACTCTCTGAGCAAGGAGGTGCTGAAGTGCCTCTCTCAGTTCCCCCACATCCCCAGTGTCCTGGTCCTGAACAAGGTAAATCCTGCTCTTTCTTCCTGCCTTCTTCAGGAAGGCATCAGCAGGGATGGGTTTTTGGGTTCCTGGTGTGTTAAAGGACACAGTTTTCCCCCTCTGCTCCAGAATATTGAGGGGGGTGTGTGTGTACCATTGCAAGCACCCCTGAAGCTGTGCTGCTGTCTGGGGTTTAAATCCATCTGGGAAGAGGAGCCAGGTCAGCCAGGGAGAATCTCAGCAGAGCTGACAGGTTCTCAGTGTTTGGGCAAACTGTGCTGGCACTGCTGACACACTGGCACAAAACTGTGCCAGTTTTGGCCTCTGGTCACAAAACTCTGCTGTCCTGCAGCAGCTGCTTCCCTGGGTGGTTTCCTCTGGCTCCTTCAGATCCAGCTGCCCACTTCATTTAGGATAAATCCTGACACCTCTCTCTCTCTCTCTCTCTGACTTCAGGTGGATATACTAAAGAAAAAGTTTCTCCTGCTGGAAATAGCAACTGACCTGACAGAGGGAATTGTAAATGGAAAGAAACTGGAAGTGAAATCTGCACTTAAACAGGATTCCAGTTCTTCAGCAAAGTCTTCCCTTCATGTCAGTCAGGCTTCTCCACCTGAAAGCAAGGTCCCAGGGTCTCCCTTTGGGCAGGAAAAGAGTCAGGCCCAGGAAGGCTCTGGTTTGGACAAGAGCAGTGATGTTGGGGGTGCTGGCACAGGGGAAGCCCAAGGGCCAAAGCACCATGGACACAAGGATCTAAAAGATATGAAAGGCTGGCCACACTTCCAGGAGATCTTCATGCTGGCAGCTCTCCATGGGGAGGAGGTGGATACACTCAAGGTAACTCCAGTCTGAACTTGTGTCACACCTGGAGCCTGGGGTGGGACCCAGCACTTCATACAGAGCCTCAGCTTCTGTTCCTGGCCTGGGAGGGGGGAAAGTGTCACATGTCAACTTGGGATGTGTCCCTGCTGCATCTGCAGAGCTTTCTGTGCAAAACTCTTACCTGGGGCTCTCCAAGCAGCAAGGAATCCACCCACTGCTGTCTCTCAGCTCCAGGGCTTCTGTGGGCTTGTCTGTGATACACACAGCCCCAGGGAGGGGTTTCAGAGCTTCCCTTTCTCCTGTCCCTGCCCAAAACACCAAACCACTGCCCTGCAGCAGTGCCCTCCCTGCAGGAGGAGCACAGGGGTGTTGGCACTGTGTGGGTGACACGTGGCAGCTGGTGGTGGTGTGTTGTGCCCACAGAGGTACCTCCTGATGCAAGCCAAGCCAGGCCCTTGGGAATTCCACAGCAGCGTCCTGACCAACCAGTCACCTCAGGAGATCTGTGATAATATCATCAGGGAGAAGGTCCTGGAGTACCTGCCCCTGGAAGTGCCTTATGGAGTGACTCAGGTGGGAAGTGTGCCCAGGCAGGCTGGGCCATCAGCTGTCTTACTGGGAATTTGGGGCTGTGTGATGGGAATCCCTTTGTTGGGATCTGTGGGGTGACTCAGTGCTTGCAGGTGTGCTCCAAGACCCTTTCTGTGTGTGAAGGGGCCACCCTTGTGTGCTGGTGTCCCCAAGGGAGTGGTGTTGGGGGTTCCTGAGGATTTTCCAGGATTGCTGAGGGCTCGTTTGCTGTCACAGGTGACGGACATATGGAAGGAGGGAGAATGTGGGGAGCTCCTCATCGTGCAGAGCCTCCTGGTGCCAAGGGAGTCTCATAAGGTGAGTGAAGGAAGAAAGATGGGGTGCTGGACAGCATGAAGGGAGGTTCCCCAAGTCCAACACCTCATCCTTGCTGTGCTCCCCTCTCCCTCTCTTTCGGGAAGAGCCATGTACCCAAT